TGAGATTATCTCCCTTTATGTAGATGTTTATCTGTGGTAGAAGTAACTATTTTAAGGCCCTTATTACTGTATTTCCCATTTGTAATTTTTTTTTCTGTGGTAAAAGTAACAATTTTAAGGCTCTGATTATCTCCCTTTTGTAGATCTTTTTCTGCGATAGAAGTGACTACTTTAAGGCCCTGATTATCTCCCTTTTGTAGGTTTTTTTTCTGCGGTAGAAGTGACTACTTAAAGGCCCTGATAATCTTCCTTTTGTAGGTGTTTTTCTGTGGTAGAAGTGATTACTTTAAGGCCCTGATTATCTCCCTTTTGTAGGTGTTTTTCTGCAGTAGAAGTGACTACTCTAAGGCCCTGATTATCTCCCTTTTGTAGGTTTTTTTCTGCGGTAGAAGTGACTTTCTTAAGGCCCTGTTTATCTCCCTTTTGTAGGTGTTTTTCTGTGGTAGAAGTGACTACTTTAAGGCCCTGATAATCTTCCTGTTGTAGGTGTTTTTCTGTGGTAGAAGTGACTACTTTAAGGCGCTGCTGATCGACCATTTTGGGGAGAGCGAGGTTTCTGACAGCAACGTCCCCCAGATGACCCTTAATGACATTTCCTGTGACATATTTACCCAGATAATGTACTACATTTATCAGGACTCGTGTGAGGTAAATATTTACCCCGATTTTGTATTCCTTTGTTCAGTTACTGTGGTTTCATCAATATTCGCTGAGCACCAATTTTTCGAGGATTTCATTGTTGAGCAGATCCACAAATTAAAATGTTCATTGAATTAAGAAAAATGATATTCATTTGTATAGGCAATGTTTTTGTCCACGAAATTATGTATCCTCGAAAACATCTGTTTAATACAATCAACGAAAATTGATGCCCACGAAAATTTATGAAACCACAGTAAATCATTCAATCCTGGATGCATTATAATTTAATTGTCATTACTTTTACTGAATCTAGTACCTGTATGTAATCATAACCAAAATCTGATTATTAAAGTCATTGGAATAATTATAAAAATAGTTATATTGACAGTTAGGTAAATGTACAAGAATCTTTATATATTTTCAGCTGTCTGAGAACACTGTTTATGATGTCCTGTGGTTTGCCGACCTTTATATGTTACCGGGTCTTAAGAGACAGTGTGCCAACTGCATCAGTAAATTTATCAACTCCAGTAACGTTCTACAAATCCTACGATCAGCGCGACTGTTTAACCAGGCAAGGCTAGAGGACCAGTGTTCCGAATTTATTGCCATCAATCTGGAAAATGTAAGAAATTTTTCCTTTTTATTTTCTATTTATCCTGTATGTTTTGCTCTTTCACAATTAATCTAGTAAATGGCATCCACAGAGGAATACATATCATGAAGTTAGCTGTTTAAAGTGAAATCTTAAATTCAATTTTTTCTAGACGTATAGTGCTAGAAGAGTTATTTTTTGTTTGTTGATTCAAGTCCCTCTCAAGTATTTTTAATTCGTTTGGAGGTGCCAATTTAGACTTGTTTCTGGAGGGCTGGAAATTCATACCTATAATTGGCACCACTTGGCACTCAGGGTCATTGAGCAGTGGGGGATCTTTTTGGTGCCAGCTTCTACTGGGTGTGTAATAACAAGACAACATCACTCATTTGGTGTAAAGCATCACTAACCCTGGCTATTTTTTTTAGTTCGTTCACAGGGAGGACTTTGCTCAGCTGGTGAGGGAAGACGCGTCCGAAATCAAAGGGAGACAAGAAACGGACTCCATCGGAATCATCGACGACATCCGCTTCCACATCACTAACTTTGTACAAACCTACAGCGAAATGGAGGAAGCCAACGAACAGTTACGCCTGGTCGACGACCTGTTGGAGGACCTTAATTTGGACGGATAAACACAGTCACTCATGAATGATTAGTATAAACAGGGATGGACTACACAGGAGAACATGGATTAGGATGGATAACAGTCATGCCAAATATCTCATATGAAATGATGATGAGTGACACAGTAAAACATGAATGCTTAGTTATAATCTGGATAGATAAATGTCACACGTGAATGATCAGTTTGAATTAAGCTGGGTGAATGATCACAGTTATGCTTGAATGCTCAGTCCAGGAGAATTTTGATCTCAAAAAATAAACAATATGGTGCATGTAGGGTTTAACACAATATGAGTGACGAACCAAAAAGGGGAAAATAAATAAATGAGAAATAGATAATAACTAGTGCTTGAATATAAACAGACATGTATATACAGTCAAACTTCATTATATTGAAATCAATGATATGGAGATAAATAAGGATTAAGAATATTGAGGTTTAAATGATATAATTTCTTGGACGTCCAAGTCACTTCGACATATCCATGGTATTTGAGATATGGATCATGTTTGAGATGCCGAAGTTTCACTGTATATCTGCATAAGATGTAATAATATAATATACATTAGATGTATATATAAAATGGTAAGATGCTTCCACAGTGCTCAGTACACCATACAGTAGAAGGTATATTTCAAGAATCGAATTAAAAGGTGCATGATTCATAATAAACCATTTACCAAATAAGAATGTCCATCCTTTTAAGATGTTTAAGGGGGGACCTATGTCCGAAAAGTCTTTGTGTGAATTTTTCAAAACTTTCACATTTCTTTCCTGACCACTTGCTCTTAATTTTTAGGTATTAAAAACAATACCTTTATATGCTTATTTTTACACAGGAGCACGTGCAAAAACAGTGTGAAATGCTAAAAATAGATTATTTTCAGTCATTATTGTTTTACCCCAAATATGCGCTAAAAAGAACCAAAAATGTCAAATCATATTCAAAATCAACACTTATTTAATTTATATGACTTGTATCTTTAAAATGGAGGCAAATTCATTGAAATCCATTTCGCATGAAAAATTATAATGGAGCACAATGTAAGTATTACCCCATTTTTCTTGTCGTATTTTTTACAATTCCGACATGCATAACAGGTAATATCTTAAAAATTCTTTGTGTAAAAATTTTGTAATTCATATTTTTTGAAAGAAATGATTCATCTCTTTATTTCAACAAAGAAAAAAGTATACCTTTATGATAAAATAAACGAGAAATATGACGTTTCCTTTTATTTTTGTACTCTTGTGTCAAAAATATTGACCTTTCTGCACTACAAAAGGGTAAGTAAGCACTGACAAACACCTGAATATAAAACTATTTTGCGGAAAACGAGTATTTTGTTTTGATTAGAAACAATTTAAATAGATAATTTTTTTTCTGCATTCCATTCATTCTGTTTCTCTACCCCCCCCCCCCCCATTTCCCCGTCAACAACCAATGCCTATTAGAACCAAGGAATGACTTTATACAATAAAATCTACATGTACTATATAAATCAATAAGCAAATATACACCCGTACAAGTACATTTCTTAATTTTTTTTCTTAGTTTTCTCCAGAAAATCGATTAATGGTAATTATAAAATTAAACATTTTCCCCTGATTTAAGCCGCTTTCTTTCCTGAATTGTAAATCTCTTTTTTGCACTATTATATCAGCATATTATCGGGGTATTTTTCACAACAGAAATTGCTATGAATTATTAACCAAAGGAAGAGAATTCTAATATTAACAAACTCCATAAGTCAAATAAAACTGTGATTAATGATTTTTGTACGTAATTGATTATCAACAATGTTATGCGTATATCACAGTTGCAAAAGTCAACAGGTAAAAACAAACGTCGCTATTGTGACGTCACATAACACTGCCTTGACGTAGAACGACATAGGTCCCCCCTTAAGTACTGGTCAAGTTTTGTTTGTTATTGTTGGGTTTTTTTTCCTACTGTATAATGTTACTCAACTTAATTTATGATACTTTGTTACCATTGCTGTTATTTGATTTATTAAGACAGTAGACGTGCTATTTATATAGTTATTACCTGTTATGAAAGCTGTTATTGTTATTCTGCTGTTTGATTTTGTTCTATCTGATCTGTATAACTTAAGCTTCAATCCTTCAGAATATTTCTAAGTGAAGTTTCTTGGCTCCTGGATATGAATCAACCAGTGCTCTAGTATTTTATGACATGTGTGGTGATTTTTTTTTTCTATTTGATGTGCAACTTTCTTTAATAGTTTGTTCCATTTCATAAATATCTAATTCTGGGGAAAATGCTTTAGGCATGCCATAGACAGTCTTTTTTTTTTTTTTAAATTCAGTCACAGTGCAGAATGAATGTTGTCAAATTTTGATGTTTTCTGTTCTTAAGTAGATATTTTATATTCTTAAAAAAAAATTTCAATCCATACTCTTTATTAAATTTTAATCTAATTTAAATAACTTGGACATGAAGTGAAGTATAAGAGGAACATTTTAGTCCACATTATTTTAATAAACCACATTTCTTACAAAATATGCTTACAATGTTCCTATTGTTTTTTGTATTAAATTTTTAATGTGTTTCAACTTTTTTTCGACGTGTTTTGCAAACTTTCTTTCACATAGTGATGGAATTATAATAGCTATTAATTGGTACACCAAAAAGAAATGTCTAGGTTTTTTTACCTTCAGTTTGTGTTTGGTTATTAAGAGATCTTGTTATTTATAATACCCGTATTTACACCTGTTTTAAGGTGAATGGAACCTTTTGATGTTATTATCTACACATTTATAAAGGTATGAAATAGAGTCATCAGGTTTTTGTTTTTCTTAAATTACCAATGGATATAGCTGAGAGATCTCTATACCCAGAGTTTCTTATTTATCCTGACATATATATATACACAGGAAATGTACATATACATGTAGACATTTAATATTATTACCCCTGGCATGTAAATAACAAGAATATTATTATAATTATCTGTGATAAATACATATAGAGAATTAATACTATTACCCCTGACATATATATGCATGTATCGAGAGTTATGTTAATATCCCTGACATATACATGTAGAGAATTAATAATATTTATTCTAGACATGTATATCTCAGGGATGATAAAATATTAATTCTCTACATGTTTATGTCAGGGATAATTATATTAATTCTTGACAGCTATATTATCCCTGACATTAGCTGTGTGCAAAACAGTATAGCGATATGGTTTTATATTATCGGTTGATCATAACGCAATAGATCCCATAATGCAAATAATGTGAAATTTATGGCGTCCGATTTTTTGCTCATTGTTGGGGAAGATTTTCCCGTCTCCAACATTGGTCAGTCAACTACCCCTCAATCCCTAATTCTGGAGACACATTCCTTAACCAATCTGGATATTTCATCGACAACTACCCCTCACTCCCTAATTATGGAGAAACATTCCTTAACCAATCTGGATATTACATCGACAACTACCCCTCACTCCCTAATTATGGAGACACATTCCTTAACCAATCTGGATATTACATCGACAACTACCCCTCACTCCCTAATTATGGAGACACATTCCTTAACCAATCTGGATATTTCATCGGCAACCCTTCACTCCCTATAATTCTGGAGACACATTCCTTAACCAATCTGGGTATTTCATTGACAATTTTTTAACCCAGCCCTTCAGTACTTGTCTCTACAAGAGATAAACTCCCTTGATTTGAATTTTTGCAATCCAGCAGCTTTGGACTCTATCCTTTGCGGTTTGTAAAAAAAAACGTTAACTGCCCAAGTTATAACAGTAAACAGGCGCGGATCCAGAATTTTTTCTAGACCTGAACACCCCACCCCCCCCCCCCCCCCTAGATCCGCGCATGATTATAGTCGGACAATTTCCTCTAATCATTGACTGATTTGGAATCATTCCTTCAAAACTTCATTTTTTTAGTCGGACAATTTCCTCTAATCATTGACTGATTTGGAATACATCGAGGTATCTTTTGATAACTACTTGACACAAATAGATGGGAAATTCAAGAAGCAACTGGTTACTTTGGATTTCATTCAGACGACATTAGAGAGATGGACATAGCTGTATCGGACCAATAGGCCTACCCCATCCCTTTCCTTCCTTTTCGGTGAAAACAATGTGAAGTCAACGTAACATGGAAAATGTGTGTACACATGTATTTTAAAAAAAATGAGATAAGATTTTTCTTTTTCAAATGCTCTGCGTCTCATTGATGAACGTGTTAATTCACATAACCTAGCTATGGCTGTGGTACTTTTTTAACTTTATATATGGCTGCAGAAATGTAGCTCTCAGAAAAAAAAACAAACAAAAAAAAACATATTGACTTGAGAGAAAACAGCGCACTTTTTTGTGTGCAATAAAAAAAATGAATAGTTTTTTCACGTGTGGTATTGTAGCTCTCCGGTCAGTCAAAATATTTTTTTTCGGAGAGCTACAGTTCTGCAGCTAAACATCACGATGATATTTCTTCACTGAAAGTTTCAGAAAATTTTTATTAATACATGTATTAATTAACAACTTTTTCAATGGTTTTAAAGTAGATCTAAGTAGATTTGAAATTATTTTACATTTTACAATTTCCAGAAAAAGCATGTTTAATGTAAGAAAAAAATGTATACTGTATGGCTTGTATCTCATGTAGTTTTAGGCAATAAATGAATTTATTATATCAAATCCAGGGACCTATATATACTAAGTATATCCTCCCTGTCAAATCAAAATTTTGCTAATTTTTTTCCCCCAATTAACATGATTAAGTTTCCAGTAATTTTTATTTATAACAGGGACGCTAAATCTTTTTTTTTTCAAGGATTCATTTTCTCACCTCAGTTTTAATAATTCATTTATTTATCAACCCCCAAGTGTTTTTGTCCACTCTCTACCGTCCATGTGTAATGATGATCGGCTCAAATATTCGAGAACGTGTTTCAGAGAGGAACGACCGACAACTCTGCATGGGAGATTAGCTTTCTGCACAAAATGCAAAATGCCCTTTAGATGGCCCCGATGTAACTGTCGCGCTGTATAATAAGTGATAAATTTTATATTCATTTATCGCTAGAAAGATAGAGAACTAGGCCTAGAAATAATAAAACGTATTTTTGTGTTATGTTTAAAGCCTTTCGTAAAATATGCGTGTATTTTGTTAGGGGTAAATTTTAACAATGTCTTTAAATTTATCGATTACATGTGACTCAACAGGTGAGATAAGATTCAAGATGGCGTCGTGTGTTCAAACAAACATCTTTCTCAGGTAATTATGTCCGGGTTCATAGTTATTATGGAGGTTTTACGTGTAATGTAATTGTTATTTAGAGTAACACAGTACTTTTTGATAGTACCTGTCTAGTATTTTACCTATGTGACAAAAGAACTGTAATATGGTGAAAATTTTCTCTTTCAAATCTGTGTTTACTATTTACGATTTTTTTAAAATCATGATCGAGGAATTCCCTGTCTTTTTCTGTGCATGCATTATTAAAACATTAAGAGGTATTTCATGATTTATATATTTTTTTCATGTACTTATTTAATATGACACCCTGGACCATACTTTTATTGAGTTTTTTAAAACTCCTTTTGATATGTTATATTAATTTAGACAGGAAGTGGTGTTATTAAAACATATAGTTTTTATGGACAATGAAATGATCTCAAAATCTGGTTAGATGTATGAGTTTTTTGCTGAATATCATGCAAACAGAACACTCTGACACAAGTTGTATAAAATATCCAAATTCAAAAATGTACACTCTATTAGATGTTGATTTGACCTAAAAAATCCAAGGAACTTTTGGAATGTATAATGAAATCAAAATATTTTGCTGAAATCATTAACAGAGCTCTAAAAAATAAAAACCTACTACGTTTCAACTTTATCATATGTTTATACACAACCAAATTCCCACTATATTTTAATGACCTTCTCAACACCTAAATGTCACCAATGCGAAATATTTTTTTGGACATTGAGAAAAATATATAATTAATGGCTTCAACATGGTTAGTATTGAGATTATAGGCCTAATTTATTTATTAAATTTTCACTATAAGCATGATAAGGGTAGTGCGACCCGGCAATATTGATCCCAGGAAAACTCAACACAGTATCAGTGAATAGAAATCCACGATTGACTGTTGTTTGCCTCCATAGACAAATAACATGTTCAAAACTGCAGAAAATTCCACAGAATCAGGACTTTTTAGTGAGCAGCTAGTGTGTAGAGAGGGTTTTTAAAGTCCAGGCTTTTTGATCATGTTGATATTGACAGCTGCTAAAAAATTTTCTATAAGAAATGGAACTCGAAAATTTATTTACCTTGTCATTGGTCATTTGCAAAATTATTTTGTTAAAAAAAAAACATTCTGATTCTACACAAGAACTCTGAAGTTAACACCATTAAGATGCTTGAGTTTCTGTTAACTATTTACCAATCATGACAAGGGGCATACGGCGGGTGTGACCAGTCGTCAGGGGATGCTTACTCCTCCATGGCACCTGGTCCCACCTCTGATGTTTCAGAGGTCTATGTTTGCTCTTAACTCCTATTTTTTAATTGTTTTATGGATGAACTTTTGATCTTGAATTAACTATTCATTATCTAAAATAATATATAATATTTCACGAGCACACTCACTCATGTAATTTAATGCTAAAATTATAGTATTTACTATTGATTCAATCAAGTTTGTTCAGGCCACAACCCCGGAGGGTAGGGTAGGGACACATTAGGCAATCAGAATTTACATTGAAATTTACAGAAAAAAATGGTTGAAATAAATATCTTCCTAAGAACGGCAGAGCCATGATTAGTCATATTATTATAGGAACAAGTTGTTTTTTTTTCCAATCATCACCTCCTGGTGTTAAGATAGCATGGGACTTTTTATATATTTAAAAATTTCTCAGAAATTTCTCAGAAGTTTAACTGATTTCTGTTTTTCTCTTTCCAAAGTGCCCAGGTAAGGGATGCAGCCCATGGGTTTATAGTTTATCTATTACTGCTAGTTACTATTAGTGAGCTGTTAAACAATTCACATACCGGTAATTAAATAAAGATATCGAGTACCACAAGTATTGACATGATTGTAACACATATAAATGTGCAGTTATAATTAAATTTTTTTTTTATATTTGCAGGTTTTAAGAATGACCTACTGACCTAGAAATAATGCTGCAGAAAACAAGATGGTAGCCCTGATTGTGACCTGCCTTCTGCTGCTATGGCAACCAGAGTTCTCCTCTCCACAGAGAACCAGGAATTGTGAGTACTGGTCGTTAATTTTAATTTAATTCTTAAGAAATGTCAAAAACTGTCATTCCTGTTCACAGGTAAGAACTTGTCTGAACCGATGACTTGGTGGAAAAAGTCAATCTAAATGACCCCATGAAAAAATCGGAAATATTGACGAACACAAATTTTTAGAAGATTTGGATTTGGCCAGTGAATGTCCCCAAAACAGCAGACTGCAGAGATGTCTATAATCGTAATGTTCGTAAATTGAGTTTTGTTAAAGCAAAGACGCAAATTGTAAATGTGTCTCTTAATTAATAGACTGTCTGTCCTTGTAAAAGTAAAGAATTTAAGATATATAGATTGTGTTATTTATGCCTCAGTAGAAAAGAAAACAGTGAGAAAAAACACTTTAAAAAATAGCTAATGATAAAGGACTTTATGATGTAGTTACATTTATGATGTAGTTACATGTATTTTTTTTAACTTTCTATACAAATAAGGCACGTGTATCTTTGTCAGGTCTCTGATGGAATCTTTAACCTTAATTAAGTCAGCCCAAATGTCCGACAGCTAAAAAAAAAGAATTTCAACACCTCTGAAAAAAAAGAGTTATTATTGCCATTAGTATTATTAAGCTAATAATCAAAGTTGTGGTATTCACCAATTCTGCATCAATCAAGGCAGGCCATCCATCACAACCGTGTGGGGGATATGTAGGTCAATGATGATTATGTTTTACGTTGTTTTTACAGAATAATTATGATTAATGTTGTTTATGATGCTCTATACAACATCATTATGACTGCTTTAAGAACCAGCTAACAGTCAAGCTGCTGACTAATTTGTTTACTGTGTGCTAAAATCATTAATTAAAGTATTTTAAGTTAATTGTTAAATTTATATCATTGAGAAAAATAACAAATAGAGTGATGATGCAATATGTACATGATATAGCTTATAATACATGTAATAAGGTGTACATGTTTATGTACTATTAAGACATATATCTGTTACTTGTATTTGTGAGTAAGTATAAATAATATGATAAGAGGAAAAATTTATCAGAATTTCCAGTGGTCTTTTGGAAGACACTTTGTAAACTGCAGGGGGCGAGGTCCTTTATGTCACACCACTGTGTTGGTAAACTTGTGGGCTGTCAGGGGGCGAGGTCCATTATGTCACACCACTGTGTTGGTAAACTTGTTGGCTGTCAGGGGGCGAGGTCCATTATGTCACACCACAGTGTTGGTAAACTTGTGGGCTGTCAGGGGGCGAGGTCCTTTATGTCACACCGTTGTGTTGGTAAACTTGTGGGCTGTCAGGGGGCGAGGTCCTTTATGTCACACCGTTGTGTTGGTAAACTTGTGGGCTGTCAGGGGGCGAGGTCCTTTATGTCACACCGTTTAAGGAATGAATTTAATAGCTACCCATTTTATATGGTATAAACTGGGTTGGGGCAGTTTACGCTTTATAAACCGCGAAGCGGTTTATGAAAAAGCGTAAACTGTTCCAACCCAGTTTATACCGTATAAAATGGGTAACTATTTAATTCATTGCTTATAATTTAATTTTCATTTTTTTTATGTAAGAAAAAAAGAATATTGTTCTGACAAAATGACTTCAAATTGTACAAAATTTGAATGTAACGTCAGGCGGATTGATACGTTTTGATTGTGACGTAGGCAACCCATTTTATACGATATGAAGTAAATTTTTTATCCAATCAAATACAGTGTTACAACCAGAATTAAATTATTGTGTTGGTAAACTTGCGGGCTGTCAGGCTGTGAGTGCCGGGTATTGGCCTGACTGAGAACATGTAGAAACACTCCTTGTATATGGTGTCAATCTCTCATCTGGAAATATATGCTAAATATACAATTAGGAACATTATTTTTTTGAAAATCTCAAATTTTCTGTATAATATATCCCTTATTTTATGTTTTTGTATCATTTCACACAGAAATATAATTATTTTAAAAATTTATTTTATCTGGAAATTATTGGAAGTTATGAATAATTCAAGAAAAAGTCCCTAACTGCTGAGTGGCCCTTAATGACTGGTCAAAAGCCTGAATAGGATTACGTATAAACTTTGCAACCCTCCTCTGGCACCGAGAAGTAATGGAGTCTCCACTATGAGTGAAAAATTCTTGAGGGGATGTTAACAAACATGCAACCCGCAAAAGTAGTAATTCCTATACAATGTAGTGCTGCAGTATTCATGCATGTACAGTTTAGCAGTAATTACTTTTTGGGGAAACTTGTCTTTCTAAGCATAACTTTTGATTTGATGATATGCTTGATATATTTGTTCTACATTTCCTTGACATCCCCCCTCCACACACATGCACAAACACATCTTTAGAGACATCAGGCGCGGATCCAGAAATTTTTCCGGGGGGGGGGGGGTCCACCCCAGTCCAAAAAAATAATTTAGCCCTAAAATTTCTTGACAAGAAAAAAGAAAAAAAAATTCACCCAAACATCAAAAACCTATTTTGTGTATGTGTGTGTGTGTGTGGGGGGGGGTGTTAGTCAATGACTTATCAATTTCACACAAATTCGCATTTACCAGGCCCGCAGGGGGGTCTGCATTTTCCAAAGGGGGGTCCAAGGTAACTTTTTTCTTGTGGTAGTATATAGATTTAATAACCTTGCAAATCCAAGGGGGTTCCTGACCCCCCCCCTTCCCCCTCTAGATCCGCGCATGGACATATACATGTATATGCAGTAGTCATGGGTCCATCTGTTAGTAAGCTATTTATAACACATTGAATGCCCTGTGTTTTTCAGTAAGCTGTCTATATATAACATTGAATGCTTTCTGTTTTCAGATCAGTTGGAGGACAGTTGTTTTGTGGATCCAGTGACCATTAGTCTGGATGAGACGGTCATCATTAAGGGGGGAGGGACGGTCAGTCCTAAGCCGATCGGGATCCAGTGTAAGATCACGGTGCGGACCGAGGCCAAGTACGAGCTCCAGGCCAGAGTACAATTCTTCAACTGCCGGGAGCCCTCCGTCATCCTCTCCCTTTACGCCAACACCAACGTAAGATTTAGTACAACACCAACATAAGATTTAGTAAAACACAAACGTAAGATTTAGTACAACACCAACGTAAGATTTAGTACAACACAAACGTAAGATTTAGTACAACACAAACGTAAGATTTAGTACAACACCAACGTAAGATTTAGTACAACACCAACCTAAGATTTAGTACAACACCAACATAAGATTTAGTACAACACAAACGTAAGATTTAGTACAACACCAACGTAAGATTTAGTACAACACAAACGTAAGATTTAGTACAACACCAACGTAAGATTTAGTACAACACCAACGTAAGATTTAGTACAACACCAACGTAAGATTTAGTACAACACATCATTAGTTTTCTTTCACTTATGTACAGTACAGGCAGAAATTTAAGCAAAGTTTTAATTTTGGCATTATTAGTGAGGATAGCCATGCTGGGATCGCTAAATTTAGATATTAGTAAAAATTAATTGCATTTTGTTTGCAGAAGTTTTCTTAGCAAGAATTTTAAAATTGCTTAAATAGTTGCTTTTTGCTTAAAATTAAGAAAAACAGAAATCCCTAAATTTGCCTCGCTAAAATTTACAATTATATGACCAAGGCCTTTCTAGCCCTTGAAGGTAGTCCTTCTGTCAAAAGTATGAGCCGAAAAACTGGTCGATACTCATATTTGACATGGCCAAGTTTTGACATTAAAAAAAAGCATCCTTATACAGTTTAAGCATATTAATGTGTGTTGTCTTTCAGAACATTTATAACTGTGACAACTACCCCCGCTCTCCTTTGACCTTGACCTTTACGGGTACACAGGTGATTGTGGATCTGAAGAAGGGTGACCCTACGGCCATGCAGTACTCGTTTGATATCAGCATCACCCCCAGACAGAGTAAGACTTTAGTGTAACTTCTACCCTTACCACTACACATACTATATCGCTTTACAAAAGGACTTACGACTTAAGATCAAATTTAATTCTTCATTTAACTTTTTGATAAACATTATATCAAAAATTATTTTATTCTGTTGAAAAGAAATGTGGTCAGATATCTTTACACAAATAATTTTGAAGAGAATTATTAATTTTGCAAAGTTTAACAATAATCTAAAGTTTTTGGTCTTAGTTGTATGTTCTTTTGTAAAACGGGCCCCAGGACTCCCAAACAGGGAATCTTGTTTTGGTTCTCATGTTTTCTAGGGAAAGCGTTTGATTGTTGTGATTTTCATGATAATATGAACAGGCTTTTAGGATTAGGACAATATTGTGTTAATTCATTCCTAATTTTGGATTAATTTAAGTGATTTGAGCTGAAATAATATACAGATATTTTGAAGAAATTTAGCAGTATAACAGGAGAAAAAGGTTTCATATACTTAGATAATCAGTTATCATTTTGACTTTGTAATTTCAATGCTTGATCATTTCAGTAGTTGTGACAGTGTCTTGTTCATTTTTCTAGAGCCGTTTTCAGCTGATACCACGGAGTCCCAGCCAGTGGCAGCCGGGCTGATCGTCGGGATCGTCTGCGGAATTTTCTTCTTTCTCGTCGTGGGAGCCATCATTATAGCGTGCTGCTACAGACGAGCCCAGAAACTAAAACGCCTGGCCATGTACAACAGCTCCAATGCTAAAGTACCGCTGGAGGATGCAGCTGGACCAATGGGGATATCAAATAACTTTGAGTCCTCGCCCCGAGCCATGACAAGGTTACTTACAACAGAGGATGAAAGTGTGGAAAATGGAGGAGTGAGGCGACCACAAACGCTTGATTTAAAATCTCGGAGTCAGACGGCAAAAAGCGACCGTACGGAGTCTAGTACAGCCAGTAGACCCAGTAATAATGACGCTTATGAACATGAGGATGAAGATCCCTATGATGTAATGGACGGAGATCCGAAGCCCCCCAAATCTCCCTTCCTTGGTGCTTTACAGAGTAATGCGAAGTTCCAGAAATCAAGACAAGAGAATGAGAGAGATGCAGAGGACCGACGGAATCGATTGTCAGGTTCATCGTTTGGAAATCAGACACCTGGGTCAAATTCATCAATAGACAGTCGAGATAAGGTGTCAGCCAGCGAGAGTCGAGGGAAGCCTCTGCCAGCAGTGCCTGACAATAAACAATTAACTCTGGCGGAAAAACGCAAAAAAATGGAAAGTTTCCGAAGAGCTACCAGACCAGATTCTTTCACTTCTGATGAATTGGATCGAAGTGGAGAAGACACTGATAATTTGAACAAAAGTCGCGGGGCGAGTGGAAGTGACAGTCAGTCGTCTCACGAAACAGCTCCGGCTAAAGCCAAGACAAACACACAACATATACTGCGCCCTAACAGAGGGCAGGAGAAAACGAAAAACACAAAAAACAAAAAAGAAAAGCCTCTGAAAGACCGAGATCCAGACAAGATCCCCGACAGTCCTAAATCCACACGCAGTGCCGGGCAGTTTCAAAAACTAGACGATGGACTGAGATCAAGCAAACGATCAAACAAATCTCCAAAACCGGCAGCCAAAGGCTTCGGACATCGGAGAAATCGGAGCACTGATTCACGTCCCGTGACCCCCACTAGCATGATGAGGGATGATGACGAGGAGTCTATTCGTCGTAAGTCTAATCTCTTATCTTACAGCTTAATAATGGACAGTATACACATGTGGTATTTAATAAAGATTATTCAATATTGGAATATTTGAATGTACAGGGAACTTTTGATAAGTTTTATTTATATACAAGACTAATATTTTAGTACATTATTCTAACACTTAACTTATTTTGCTTTAATATTTGGTTGTTTGTGTTTGTCCACGTTCATTTGGCTTGATGCAAAAACTAAAAACTGAGTAATTGATATTAATTAGGGATTTTAATTAGTTATTTAATAGATAATGATATAAAGGTTCATAAACCCACTGCTCACTCATAAAATTTTGCTTGAACCTTCATGATTTTCTAAAAGAAATGTATGTTATAAGTAAAATACTAGCTGTTTGCGAGGCAAAATTATACAAAAAAGTGGCTTGATGCAAAAACTAAAAAAATGAGTAATTGATATTAATTAGTGATTTTAATTTGTTATTTTATAAATAGTGAATTTAGTGATATTTATTATTTCTAAGAGAGAAAATCAGGGTTTTGAATCTTATCAAGGTTTGACGCAAACACACTTTTTTGAGATTTCTTCATAAATTAAATCTATGAAAAATTGAAGAAGAAAAAAATTCCAAGATCGGTATCTTTTTCAATTTTTTTTTGAATTTTGAAAAATATTTTTGAAAGTTTCATTCATAATTTAGTGTATATATGTCAAATGAATTCAATTCTATTTATTCAGAACAAAACAATTTTTCCTTTAAAAATTGCTTAGTGAGACCTGATCACTGGGTTTAATGTTTTTCAGCTCTCCAGAGAACAACGTCACGCCAATCTCTCTACGCCTCTCGTTCATCCCTCTACAGTCGCAGGCGGCGGAAAGGTTCCTTCTCCGAGTCTGTCGTTTCTGGGTCAACCTTCGCCCATGATGACATTGACTATTACCGCAGACCAAGAGGTCAAAGGTCACGGGGTCATTCACCTGCGGATTATGACGATGACTCTGATGGCTATGTGCAGCCAATATCTCGTCATGAAAATGACAGAATGTTTAAATCGCTAGGAGATTTGAATTCTAATGGAAGACGCAGCGAAAAAGCAACCAGAGCAACACAAACATTGAGGGAGACAGCAACGCAGACCGGGGACGACCAATCGGTTGTCGTCCATTCAAAGAGGGTGGTGCCGAGAAAACGTCGCTCAAAGAGTCTGTCTGCAACAGGAACGCAAACTACAAATAAAAAACACAGAAGTCGCAGTAAGTCAAGGGGTAACGATTCTGACACAGGTGATGAACTTAAAAATGAAAAACGGGAAAAATCAAAGAGTCGAGAATCACTGAAAGAAAGTTCAGAAAAACCAAAGCCAAAACCGAAACCAAAACCCAGGAAATCCCAATCGGCAGCAGCATCTGAGAGCGAGGCTCCTACCAAAGCACAAAGGAAAAAGTCCAAGTCTCAGAAAGAGGCTCCTGCTGCAGAAGACACAGTGGAGGCTCCACAGGAACTGACAGCAGCGCCACCTGGAGTGGTGGTTTATCCCATGGGGCCTCAGGGTCAGCCGTATGTGGTACCTTATGGACTACCACCAGGTTACACCACCTTACCTCTACAGCAGCCACCACCCGGTGCAGTGCCCTCCCAGCCTCCTCCTTATGTTGTTAACGGTCAGGGATCTCTGTTTGTGGGGCCGCCTCCGCCTGTTGACAATACAGTCAGACAGTTACCACCACAAACTGTGTCTCAGGCTGCAGCTATTCCAAGGAAAAAGTCAAACTGGGAAATGTTGTGTGAGATGACAGACAAACAGAACAGTGGGGAAGCTTTAGAGACAGGTTCAGTGACTAGCTCTGTGTTTACTAACAATATCCCCTCACACCAGGTGGTGTACCCTACAGGTCACCACCCAGCAGCTCCCATAGTAATGGTACCACCCCAGCACAGCCATCCTGTACATTCCTTCACAGCCCCAGGGGCCCTGTATCCCTCTGGTGTACCCCTGGCAGTTAATCCCTCTCCACTGGGGACTTCACCGGCTGCCCATCCTAGTCCTTCTGTCGGCAGCGAGCTATCCCATAATTCCTCATGGGATGTGCTGACACGATTAACAGAACAGCAGAGTCGACTTCAGCAGGGTCAGAACAATGCGGTGGGGAATGAGAGCGTCGTATAGTGTCACCCATAGTAACAACCATAGTTAACACACATAGTTACCATACATTGTAGTCATCCATAGTAACCAACCATAGTAACAAAATACATTTAAATCTTGTCACTCCATCTCGTGGTTGTGAGTCTCCATTTGATGCTGGTTGTACTTTCATTTTTGGCTGTATGCAGTTTAATGTGAACAAATTTAACTGCATTTAATTTTTTTTTGTTTTTTTTTTTGTGTTATATTTTTTTTGTACTTAAAATATGATTTTTAAATGTGTTCTATGTGCTGAATGAGGATAGATTTACTTCACGATGGATTTACTGTTGTATAAATGAATATTCATTACCTGTATATAAACCATAATATTGTATACTTATTAGTGTAAGTTTTACATAAGTCTACATATACATTAATAAAGTGCAACATATTTATTCAAATATAATTGTTGAATGTTTTTGAGCTCCTGTATGATTTTTTTGCACAAATATTTTTCATACATATCAATTCTATACAAATTCTATACATTACATATCATGCATTTGTTATGCAATTTTTGCAAATGTAATAATATACATTATAGAAGTAGAAATTAAATTTGAAGTACATTGTAAACTATATATTACTTTTAAATTGACAGCAAATATATGTGATTTCATTTGTTATTTTGCTTTAATTTGGAAATTCATTCCATGATAGAGGTTTATATTTAAAATGTAGAAACCCATGTTTAATGAATGAATATTCACCTTTTTTGAATTAGATCCCACATTTTTGTAAATAAATAAAAAGATGGTATTTGAAATTTTAGAGGTTTTTTGTTGCATTAAGATTTAAGTAGAACTTGAATAGTTTATATGATAATTACGTAAGGTTTCTTTGCAAATTCAGAAATTATTGTGAACTTCTCTTTTGTGGAAATTCTACTTACAAGTAATATTTCATACCGCTTAGAAAATATTATAAAATTATACAGCTTTTAAAAAGTACTACATAAATTTTTGATGAAAGTAACTTTGTAGTAAAGTTTGATACTTATTAATTATGGTTTAAATGAGCTTTACATAGATTTTATTAGGAATACCCAGTATGTCATGTAAGTATGGGTTGAAGTGCTACTCTTTTAATATTGCTACACACAAAAGATGCCTGTGCTGAGTGTTTTATCCTGTGTTATTGTAAATATTAGTAAGAATTTAACCCATCTAATGTATGCATGTATGTACATGTAACAACTTAAGTGAAGTGCATACAAAAATCAAATATTAAGTAGATTAGTAGTGTTTTGGGTACATATGGTAATTTTTATATTGTCAATTCAACTTTAAAACTACAAATTTATTAATATGTTACTGGTCACCATATGCTCCTGAAAACAAATCCAGTAAGGTATTTTAAACACTGGTTGCTTGGTAACAGTAAAAAATGGGGGGGGGGGGGGCGCATGGTGTCTTGACTTTTTTTCTGGCCTAGACGGGGACATTTTATTGTAAAGATCATTAATTTTCAATTCAAATAGGTCAAGTGAACTTCTTTCCCTGCCTTTTTTTTTTTTTTACAGTTTATACCTGTGTTATTGAAGTGCAGGCTTGGAGGATGCTGGGCATTCTCTTGTATCAAGTTGTGTTTCAATTTGTTTTGAATTGCAGCTTAACATTTAATACATTCCAATCTTTTTGAAAATTTTTAAGTGCTGTAAAATTTTATAGCTTTTTTCCCCACATTCCATGGAGATTTTTATGCTGTTTTTAATTGTTAATAATTTTTAAATTGTTTGATGCATACATTTTTGTATTCTAAGCTGTGTATATTTAATTTTAACTAATTGTGCCATGAATTAAAAAAAAGTTTTAGAATTTAAACAATTAGTGTTAGAAATAGAAGTAGTCATCAATAAACTTAATACATGTAGTTTAGTAATGTAATGTATATTCATTTTCAATTAATTATGGTCTCCATTAAAATTTAAGGAGAATTAAAGATTAAAATAAGAGAAAATTAAGTGGATTTTAAGTGATTAAAATGCTTACAACTTAAAACTACCATAAATATGAATTGATATATATATATAATTATTTTTCTTTCCTCGATGTTAAAAAAAGAGGGAGCTATTATTTGTTTAACTAATGTGTTTCAAAAATTTCTTGATCATATATATTTCATTGTGTATTTCATTCTTTCGACTTGTTTTAAACACTGCTATTAAAATGCTATTTGAAATGTATATATACCATGGATGACCTAAATGTGCAATTGCATAAAAGTGATTTCAGAAATCATGTAAAATCATTTAAATGTATTTTGATTCGTGAGTTTAAAATTTTTGCTCTACGATTCCAGTATTTGTTTTACATGTTTAAGGAATAAAAGGGATTTATTTGAATTTCTTGTTTGTTTTATGAATATTTCTAAAATGATAATTTTATTTTATCGAATAAATCTACAAATTTTAAAACAATTTAAACAATGATTTTATTGATGTATCAGCAGAGCCTGGCATTCCTAATTCGTTTGGAAAACTTTATTTGTAATTTTATTCGCTTATGTTAACTTGAATAAATCCTTCTGATTTATCACTCAGTGAGATTCTAATGGGAGGTCAACATTACCGCTACATTGCAAAAAATTTCAACTCATTACCGCTACATTTTGTCAGATTTTCGACCGATCATTACCGCTACATTTTTCCGGCAAAAAATAACTCATTACCGCTACATACTGAGTCAGCCAAAAAGAGCTCATTACCGCTACATATCAATTTAGCCAGGTATAGTTCGGTTTACATGAGTTCTAACCAACAGAATTCACTTAACATCTAATCAGAATGAGTACATATATATAAATAACTGCAGTCTAAATTTAATTATTTAGCGTCATCTGAACATTATGGCCACCATTGAAAAGTTTGTTACAAATCGATTGCAATCGGAGTTCCTCGGATGACTCGTACCTCGCACAATACCTTCGTTTGAATTTTTTTAATTGAATCGATTGAAAAAAATTAAAAAAAAATAAGACTTAATTTCAAAAACTCAAAATTGTGGAAATGCGTTGAAAACAGTTGCAAAAGCAACTGCAAAGCAGACCTCGACGAATTATTTATTGATTTTAATGTTTAAAAACCCTTCCTGTTCAAAGTCCAACTTTCACCTCCCCGTGGTGAGCAGGAGGAACGGGTCTTATGCATGCATGTACATGTATAGGTTGTACTGTACACGCATAAGTGGCTGGCTATTGAAAGAGGCAATGTAGCGGTAATGTATATTTTTTATGTAGAGGTAACGTAAGATTTTTGTAGCGGTAATGACTATGTAGCGGTAATGAAAATTTTGAATATGTAGCGGTAATGATATGCACCCATTCTATACTTTTCAAAAAAAAAAAACCGCATCGTAGAATTTAAGTGACACATTGAACATAAAGATTATTTAGTAAAATGATGCATTGATAAAACAGAAATGTGGTAAGCAACAGGAATACTATCTACGAGGGGCATTTCAAAAGTCCTGAGAACTGTTTACTAAAAAATTAACCGTTTTACGGAAATTAAATATTAAGTTTGATATCATTGGAAAGGACAGAAAAATATACACATATTGTGACGTCACTTTCTAATTTTTATGACGTAATAACTCCGAAAATGACCTCATACTTCCGCAAACTTACAATACTGGCCATAAAAATGACGTAACAAAAGACACAATTTCATCAATGTAAAATTTTAAAAACAACTTTTGCTCATTACTCGGGTGCAAGCTATCGGACGTAAATGACAGTTGGTAGAATCTTTACATAGACTACAATCTATCAAATGGTGGTCTATTTCAAAGATCTTCTTGTTCTGAGATGGTTTAAGCGATTGCCAAACATCGCATGCTTTTATCGAATCTTGCTTAAAATATTGCGTAAAACAGACCCAACTGTGAGAATGAGGCAAAGTTGGCAATCAACGAAAAATAGACGATCTTGTTACTAAATTTTATGGCATCAATTCGTCAGATGTTTTAACCATATTTGTGGGATCGAAGAAGGCTCAAGAGAGGTTAAGTTTATTGTGCCCCATATTTTCTAGTAAAATCCAAAATGGCCCGGACGCAGTTGTAACCCCGCCCTACCTCCACATATTTGCAAAAATTAATTCATGGAAATTAAATAAGATTCTACATGTCTATGAAGCAGTACTGAGTTTTAGGGCGCCGAAGTTGAATAGATGAGAAAAAATACGCACAGAAACAAGTCAGGGGCAAGACTTTTGTACATTTTATTTGTAAATGGTAAGAGTACTGTTACTCAAAATATATTTGTTGAAAACTGCATTAATATACTTTAGTTTTATACAGAAAATGTTTTATTTCATACAATGGAGAAGTATATAAAAGACCGAAAATCAGTCGTATCATGTGACTTAAAATCTTGGATGAATGTCGATGAAAGCATAACCGGACATAAACCGCGCTAGTAAACAAACCAAACAATGAAATATAATATTGTTGATAAACAGTACCATAGTCCTACTCTACTTCTTTGCAAATGACAATTTTCTTTGAAATATATTTTCAAATAAGCCTTTGGCAGCACTTTTAAAATTGTGCCATGTGGATAAAAACGCGAGTTTTCAGTATGCTAAACCTTCTATATTCTGACGTCATTTTCGGAGTTATTACGTCATAAAAATTATAACGTGACGTCACAATATGTGTATATTTTTCTGTCCTTTCCAATGATATCAAACTCAACAATTTCCGTAAAACGGTTAATTTTTTATTAAACAGTTCTCAGGACTTTTGAAATGCCCCTCGTAAATGTCATAATTACTCAACAATTTTAAAATTATAGTCAGTTTAAGACCATTAAAGATCACTATCTGGTATGCCCCCCGCAGATACAAGTGATAGCCACAAACGGCATCTAATGGAAGCAAATGTGTGTAATAAAAACTGTATAGGAATACTCTCCCACTCCAAATGTAGAACTATAGTCACCTGTTGCAGAGTCTGGGGATGCGATTGTCTTTGACTAAAACAGGTTGTTATTTCTTTGCAAGAATAGGTGTGTCAAACGAGCCATATGTGGCTGTGTATTGTGAGATTGCAATACGGCTCTAGGATGCTGTAAATTTGAATGGGTATGTGTAGGTAGAACATGGTTAGAGTACCTTTTTCCATCAAAGTCCATTGAATTCGAACCATATCAATCTTACTTTCTTATAATACCATTTTTCATACCATTACACTACCACCACCAACTTTTTTAACGTCCTGGAGGCAGTTATCTATCTAACCTTCATTAAAAAGCATTATCACTCTTAAACTTATAAGAGGCTTTCAGATAAACATTCTGGACTAGCAGATTAACCAAAATGTTCAGCAGTGATGCTGTGGTCATACTCTATTCATCTGAGATCTTTGACGTCGATATTTGGGGTGTTGTGGGGTCGGAACAATGGCATGAATAATCATCTTGCAATAATTCGTAGTCAACTGAAAACGGTCTTGTTAGATGATCTGTGCAGTTCAGGGATAGCTAATGCTTTAAGATGACGTCCTTGCATTACATTCATGCAATTTGCGTAATCCTCGGAAGTGAT